TTCAACTGTCTACTAAAAGAGATTACTCTTTTTTTGTCTCCATCTCCAATTCTAGTTTGAATTCTGGTAAATGTTTGTTTCATTCTGTGTGGGAACATATATTAAAACCCACAGAGGGTTTACATGTAGGAAGTCTTCCAATCAATTGATAAAACATTAAATTAAAAGGGGCATCTGTATAAAAATGTTCATTTCAGAATCATAATACCAAAAACTAGAAATAAGCTAAATGTCCAGGAATAGAAATGTCTAATGATATATCTCAGAGCAATCTAAAATGAAGATTGTGAAAATTATATAGTAACTCATATGTTTATGACATGTTAAGTGAAAAGGAATTAAGAGAACTGTGGCACTATGTAATTATGTATATATACACTGACTAAAAGGGAACATGAAAACTATATGAATCGATGGTGTGGCTGTGACTTCATTTCTCCCCCCACCCCCTTTCAGTTTTTAGGACAGGGTTTCTCTGTGTTCTATAGACCAGGCTGGCCTTGAGCTCATGGAGTTCTCCCTGCCTCTGAGTGCCAGGGATTGCATTTCTTTTATCCAGAACTTTATAAATGTCACTATAGTAGTCTTTCAATTATATTTAAGATAATTTAAAATTAAATGTATATCTTTTTACAGATTGGCAAGATTTGTAAATAAATATTTGTAAACACACGTGTGCGCGCGCGCGCACACACACACACACACACACACACACACACATATTTCTCAGGACTGTCTCCTACAAGCTCCAAGAAGCAGATAATCCAGTACCAATAAGCATACTGAACCTTGGTCCCAAAGATTATTTTCCACTAACATGGAAACAGGCCTTTTAAAAAGGAAAAGGCTTATTCCAGGGAAAAGCAAACTTAAGTATGAAATAAACATGTACTACTTCATTACACAAGCAAGTAAGAGAGTGCTTTAATTAAAAAAAAATGAAGTAATGTTAACAGAAGCCACAGGAGGAAATGCTTCTACTAGCTACACATAAGACAATTTGAATATCAAAATAACTACATAGTTTAACATTAGAGGTGAAAAAATGATATATGTAACCTATCCTAAGTGATTCAGAAAAACACCACACAAATATACAAATAAAAATATGGGCAGAGTGGCTGGAGAGATGGTTCAGCAATTAAAACTGACACCCACAGGGTGGCTTACAACTCCAGTTCCAGAGGATCTGATACTGTCTGACTTCTGACCTCTAAAGGCACCAGACATAACATGGTGTACATACATACACATAGGCAAAATATACATATAACAAATAAGAATTTTAAAAAATATTCATAGATAGACATCATAACTGAGAATAAGCAAATACAGAAGTGGAAAACAGAAATTTGAATGTACTCATGAAGATAATGAATAGGTAAGTAGGGAAACCAGAAGGGCTTTGTTTACACGAGAATGCTGTGGGCAGAAAAAGAAGAAGGGCTATGGATCTGTTCAGTCATCTTGCATCCACCACATAAACTGCATACGCAATTATGAATGCTGAACATAAAAGGAACTTCTGATGAGTAGGGTATAATGTCCCCACAAAGACAAGGTGGTCAAAAGTATGATTATCAGTGAGTAATACATGGGTGTCATGTTCAAGTGACACTCTGTGGAACAGGCTACAGAGTCTGTGCAGTAGTCAGCTGAAATGCATAGTCGCCATCTAATTGTAAGTAAACATGGAGTGAACATTCTTCTAAAGATGTGTGGCGCTATATCCTTCAAATACATCAAGGACTTACAAAACAAAGAGTGGGAATTTCCAGAGCAAAGGATGCTAAACGAGATAGGACAATTAAATGCATTCCCTGGCCTGAGACAGGCTCCTGTCAGGGAGAGAGGAATACTATAAAGAGCCAACCTCAAAAAATTCTAACATGATGGTAAAAATACTGTTCAAGTGTACGTTTATCAGGCTGTCAGGAAATGTACTCTCAGGAATACAGAAGTGAAGAGCTAGAACTCATGCTTGCCTGAGAAAAGGTCAGAAGAAAGGGTATTGGGGGGGGGGGGCACACAGGGAGCAAGTAATGCCTATTTGGAGAGAACTCGTCTCCCCACAAGAGGCAGCAAATGAATGATCTAATAACGTTTTATAAATTCGAATTTCTAATTTGTTGGTTTTTTAAAGCTTTTTTTTTTTTAAGGAAACAACAGGAACATAAAAGGGTGCTGAAAACTGCTAAAAATCTGGGTATAGTGGTATGCACCTTTACTGCCAGTACTGGGAAAGCAACAGATCTCTGTGACTTTTAGGTCAACCTGGTCTACATAGGGAGTTCCAGGACAACCAGAGCTACATAGAGGAGCCTGTCTAGGAGAAAACAAACAAGAACAACAACAAACCCAAAACCTGCAAACTGCTAAACAGTTTTTAAACAATTTATTGTGTGTTGTTTTCAAGTTACTGTTCAAAATGCTTTCTGATTCTGATATGTTGAGTCTCTCTTGAATGAGGATGCTTTTACAGTTTTAACTGAATAAGTTAATATCTTGAAGCCAGAGGCCCATCAGTCGCACTTCCTGTTTGAAACAGTAGAAGGGGGGAAAAACACTAAGATTTCAAGACCTATTTTCTACAGTATCCACATTTACCGTTCACTGTCTGGTAATTGCATTCCACATTTTAAATACAACTTGAGTTCTACTGTGTCTGACAGGAGTATACAGAGTATCAGTGGGTGGAAGTAGGCAGAGATGATTATGCCTTTCTAGAAGACAGCTGGAAATGTACACCCTGGTACTCAAATACTCACTACTACCTAAAGAGTGGGATTCTTTAGTCTCATAAGGTGTATCATGTTTTGGAGTTGTAAAATTTAGATTGGACATTCTTCCAAGTTTTAAAATCCTGAGTGTGATGATCTAATAGAAAATCACCTTTTTTTTCCCTTTGAAATTTAACTCGGGAATTTGCACCCTCTTGTGGTGGAAAGATCATTGTCCCCATTGGCTTTCTGTTTAGGAACAAGAACTTAATGTCACTTGATTCTGGTTTCTCCCAGTTTAACGATTCAATAAGGATTTATCGTTTAAGATTTTAAACAAAATGAGAACTAAATATTCTAAAAAAGATCGCCATATAAGTTTTAGTTGGAGTAAGTGTACATAACTGAACACTATTCAGCTATGTCCAGTCTTGATTTGATTTTGAAGGTTTCTTTTCGAGTTATACCTCACTAATGCAAACCATGGAAGCTTTCTCCAATTCACTTACTCTTTAGTACTTAAGTTCCATATCCACTGTTTTAACAGGCATAATAACAAGATAACATCTTTTTATGTTCAAAAGTTACAGTTCTGTGGGGTGTGGTGGCACAAACCTGTAATCCCAGCACTCAAGAGACTGAAGCAAGAATTATCAGCCTGGGCTACAAAGCTGAGCTCTAGGCCAGGCTCAACTTCATAAAAAGATAATTTTTAAAGTTATGATTCATCACAAGTTGTTTTAATAATAAAAACTAGAGCAAACATAATAATATTCCTGATTTTTAACTGTTGGGTTCTTTAAAAAAAATTGATAGGCCTGGAGAGATAGCTCAGCAGTTAAGAGCACTTGTTGACTTTGCCAAGGACGCAGGCTTAGTTTCAGCACCCACATTGTGGATCACAACCCTCTCTCACTCCAGTTCCAGGAAATCCTTCCTCTCTTGATGTTCGAAGGCACATACAAGATGCACATACACACATGTAAACAAAACACACAAAGTCATTTTTTAAAATCCATGAGAATCAAGGGAAACATAACCAAACACAGCCCTAAACTATAGTCATTTAGGAGCAACGGCAGTTTTTGTTTTTAAATTTTTTATCTTAATTAGCCTAGTGGCAGGGACGATGTCTTGCAAGCAAAGGATCAAAAGATGCTTTTGTAAGAAAAATTAAAATATTAACTGAATCAATTTTTTGTCCTGTTATGTAGCCATTTTTAAAGGCGGTTTGCCTCGCTTGCTCTCACCAGCTGTAAGATAGCAGAATTTCTAATCAGAATATCAGGTATCATCAACCATAAAACAAAAATGATACCTACTTCATAGAGGTGTTGTGGGCAGTGAAACGCCTGATCCACAAAGTGTTTGATACACTGCGTACCACATTATCAATACCCAGTGGCTCTTACAACTTTTTCAAGGCTTCATACAACGGAAAACTATCTGGTGAATCCATAATTTACTATAGCACTAATTTTTTTTCTTTTGTAAAAGTACCCTAGTGGCGTCCAAAAGATTGTACATCTCCGTCTCCAATCCAGAACCGAAAGCTCCATTTCCAGTTCAGAATCAAAGGGCTTGTGCATAGTGGGCGGGTCGCACGCCTCGAGGTCTGGGGGTGGAGGGAAACGTCAGAGTGTGACAGCCGCTCGCTGGTCGTGTGATTGAACCATAAAATTCCTATCTCATGAGGTGGTTCGAGGCTTAAGTGTGACAGATTTGCGAGGCGCTGGCGGAGGGCGAGAGCGCGACACCGATGCGCGGTTTTAAGTTCCTGAGCAACCACACAAGGCTCGAAGGCACACTTCGGTGGCTTGCAGTTTAGTTGAAAGCGGTTTTTGTTTTGCTTTCACGAAACGCTTAAGATAGATCCTAATTTGTTTCATCCCAAAGGTAGGGTACTAGTGTGTTACCGGAGTAGTGTCCGAAAGCTGACCACCTGCACTGCCACACAGGGGCGTCGCAAGCACACACGCAAGCGCAAAATACAGCGGGGACTGGAACCGAGGAAGTGGAGCGTCTTGGCGCCACGACGATTCTGCGCATGTGCCGGGGGAGAGGGAGGTAGAAGTTTCCGCATGCGCAACTGGGTTGCGCGGGGATGGTGGGGGGGCGGGGGAACGGCAGGAACAGCTGTGGAGACAGCCCGCGTTCCCGGCATGCCCCGGGGCGGCGGGGTTGGCTCTAACGAATTTGAATGAGGAGCCTCAGCGCTTTCGGCGCCATTTTCGAGTGATGCCTGATCTCATCAATCTAGCGGGAGGGAAGGGATAACCTGTCCGAGCGTAGCGCGACGTTAGGATCGCGCCGGAAAATCCCCCAAAAATCATCAAAAAATAACTTAGACCAAAGAGCAGTCGGCGGGGCTTCGCCAGATCGGCGCAGTCGGTAAGAGCCTCAAGTAGCAAAGCGGGTCTCGGGAGGTGGCAGCGATGGGACCTGGGGACCGTGAGGGGAGCAGAGACCGGACTCAGGGTCTGCCCTCACTTTAATGGCAGAAGCTCCCCAGGAGATCCGGCCGGCGTAACTTGGGTGTCCTCGGGTGGGCGGTGTCTGGCCGCTTGTGGCGGGAGCGCGGAGCTGGGGGAGGGGAGGCGCGGTTTGAGCGGGACGCGGCCGAGCGGCCGCCGCCCGACCTGTCAGCGCGAGCGGCCGGGGAGCTAGGCCGGCGCGGCAGGTTCGCCCGCGGCTCCCCGACAGGCGCCCGCCCTCCCCGGTGTGCACGGCAGTCGGGACGCACGCCGCCTTCTGCCGGAAAACTTAGGTCGCCTGAGGGGCGGCTGCCCGGGGCACCCGGGGTGCGCGGGTGAGAGGCGGCGCCGGCCGGCCGGCGGGTCCCGGCCCCGGGCGCAGCGGACGGACGCATCCAGCTGGGTCATTTTGTCGTTGCTCTCCCGGCGGTCCCCTCTCTCTCGAGGGGGAGGGGTGTCGGGGTGAAGGAAGGACGGGGCTGCGAGCTTGCGATTTCCTGGCGTCGCGCTCTTAGAAGACTTTTTCCTTCTTCAGTCCTTGAAACGCAGTGTCTCAAGGAAAAGTAGCGTGGAACTTGGTGTTCCCTGCGGACAAGCCTTTGCACCTACGATTTAACGGTAATTTTGCAGTTCTCAACTTTTCTTGGGAACTCCTGACGCTGAGGCGGAAGAAAGCGGAGTTATCTTTCATTTGGGGGGTTCGTTTCTTTTTTTCGTTAGCTGTTGGCTTTTTGTCAACCCAGAGTCGACAGCTCTTGAATAAGCCAGTGACAGCTTTGACTTTAGGGTAATACTAGCTAGGTACTAGTCTTTGTGAAGAGTCCACGTTAAACACCCATGAGATCTTGTATCGCTTTTCCCCCTCAGCACCCCAGGTTAACCCTTAGCTAATGTGACGTCCTGCGGGAGGGTCGCACGGACCTGCCTTACACATCCTCTGTAGACGCTTTTGCAGCAGCTTCTCAGTTACTCGCTGAGGAATAAGGCTTCTTGGGAACCCCAGTGACCTGCTATCCTCAGCAGGCCCCCTACAGAGCTTTCTTCCTCTGGAATTTTATCACAACGCCGGATTGTGTGTGTGTCTGTGAAAACTGGGGGACCCGCCCTCATTTAGATCCCTTCCAAAAGAGTAGGAGCGCAATGTGATGTTTTTCAAATTGTGTCTAACGGAGCTCCCAAACGCCGGGCTTCTTACCCACTGATTGGCTGGAAGGAAGCGGGACTAGGGGGTTTGAATGTTGATCCCAGAGCTGATAATTCTTGACCTACCGAAAAACCATGTTTAGTCAGAGAACTACTCAAATAGATACAAAATGTAAAAGCGGAGGTTTTTTTTTTTTTAAGTTAGTACACAATAGAGGTGTTTCCTCTGTAAAAGCCTTTCAGATGGTTCTGAAATATATATTTAAATGTAAAACTAAGGAGCCTGTTTTCAGGAAACTATTTTTGCTGTTGCAGTTAGAAGACATTTCTATTCTTCATTGGTTGAAAACTCCGAAGGATCGAAGGTGTTTGGGTTTTCCTTTGATAAAATTTTTTCGTCTCAGCCTTCGTGTATTTATTGGATACATATTATGAGAGAATTGTTTCTTTCATTTTGATGAAAGTGAACTTTAAGGTTTAATCTGTTCCACATTTTTCGTAAAAATTGAATATATTCTTAGAACTTTGCAAATCTATTTTAAAATGTTTTCTAACTCAGCCATTGCAGTGGATTTAAATTTTTAATTTACAAGCCATTTATGTTTCTTAGTTGAGAATATAACAAGTAAGTATACACAGGTGAGCGTATGTAATATACTAATGCGTTCCTTTTACAAATTCATTATGAGAAAATGTGTTGTATACAGCAGTGAATATGTGTCAGTTTATTTGATTGATTTCAGTTAGTTTTTGTTTAGTGTTACTTGAGACAGGTGTCAATATTTATTACCCTGCTTGTCATTCCTTTTAATTGCATCTTGATAACAGACAGGGTGTGGTTTTCAAAGAGTAGATGATCTTGAAAGGAACTTTTAAATTTTTATTTCTTATAAATAATTGAAATTTTGAGACATTATTTTAAGACAAACATATAGTTAGAAATATTCAAATGAAAACATTTTCATAAAATGTATAGGACTGTAAATTATAATAAATATATTCTATTTTGTATTACTTCCATAATAATTACAATTACTGAGCCCATAATCTTTTGTTGTTGTTGTTCATTTTGGATCTTTTCATAAAATTTTCCTAAAATTGTCTATAAAGTTTGATTTACTAAAAATTGTAGATCTTTCTATTCTGCATGTAATCATAAGTAAAATTTGTTTTGCTTTTTTATTGTTAGTTTTTGTATTTTAATTTTTATTCAAGTTATGTGACTGGGAGAGAATTATGGAAGTGGAGGAAAGCTTTAAATTCTACCAGATTGGTGAAGTTTAACCATATTTTTTTGATGCTTCGGTTTATGGGATTTGTATTATGTTAAGGGCCATAACTGAAGGTATTTTTTTTCTTTCATTTGTTTGTTTTACCAACTTTTTGAAAGTGATATTCTTTATTTAAACCAATTCTTACAACGATGTAGAATACACTACCACCTAAATAAATTTCACAACATTTAAAATATTTTCCTGTTGTATGTAATAGTAGGTAGAAGAGAGAATTCCAATAGATATATCCTACTTATTTAAGTAAATGTTTATATGCAGTTATCTGTGTTTTTCTGCAGAAACTGATTACTCTTAATTTTCTATTCTTTTGTGAAAGCTGCAAAAGTTATCTATTGCCACAGGAAAACAGCGCTAAAGAATGATGCTGATATAGTTCTTCCCGCACTCCACTTACTATTGTAGGAGAGTGGGAACGTGGGAACAAGTATCAGTTTCTCTGGTAGCATTGATTTTCATTTGTTTGTTCTTTATACTAGTTCCAATTAAACATCTAATTTTAGACAATTAAAAAAAACTATTGTCTTTAGTATACATTTACAAAATTTAGCCTCAGGTTTTTGTATGCCATTAGATTAGTATCTTTTAATGTTTATTAGGAACCAAATCTAAGAATAAAAATTTCAAAGTAGTATTCACGTTCTAGTTCTCATGTTTTCTTCTCTTTGGTATGCTGCCTTTTAGTTTTTGTTTCATGAAGACTTGTGTACAGGTTTACTTCTATTCGTGTATTTATTTGTATGTAGTAACTATAAAGACTGTTGAAAAAGACTTCAGTCTAGAACTATTGGTCAGCCTATTGAGTTTACAGAAAGAAATTTTCAGACTATAGTATTTCTTCAATAAGCTTTTAACAACTAAATTTTAAATTTACAGTTATGGAAATTTTATAAAGTTTATCTCAAGTCGTTTTTCTAACCTTAAAAAGGCTTTTGTCTTTTTTATTTTTTTTGTTTAATGACAATCCTCACATTGATTTATTTTTAACCTCTTTTATAAGAAACATTAGTATGATTATAATTTGAACAGCACATTTTAGAAAGAATTGTAAGACTGCATAGTTTATCCTTTTTATTTTTTAATTGCATAAATTTAGAAACTATATGCTTTGCAATTAATTTTAGCATGTAATTAGATTTCAAACTGTGACTTGCTATAACTTTGTAGTCTCAACTCATAAAACAAGGAAATCAGTAATAAAATACCACTTTATTTAAAAATTAAAATGAGATAAAGCATTTAATTTTAAGAGGTTACAGCATTAGAACATTAAAACGTGGTTGTCTTAAGAGTGATAATGTCTATTTTTAAAAGTTACTATTATGTAATATCTGATTGCTAGTATGTACAAATGATCATAAATTCTGTAAATAATGCTTTCTGGTAGGTAAGGTGGTTTTTTTTTGTTTTATTTTCTTGCCTTTATAAAAGATGTTTTAATGGATTTTCCTTTGAACCGAGTAATGGAGTTAAATAAATGTGTGTGTGTGTGTGTGTGTGTGTGTGTGTACACTTAATACTTTTCTCGAAGTTGTGAGTTTAATGTGCTCTTATTTAAGCCTGTCTTGCTTGAGCAAAGAAATGTTACACAGGAAAGATTTATGATGTTTCTAAGTATAAATAGTAAACTAATAAATTTGAGTTTTACTTTGAGATTTTTCTTTTAGTCATAAGCATTTTATTTTATATCTAAACCTTTTGTTTCTTATCTAGTATTCTTATACCGCTTAAAAACATATATTAAAATTTAACATTTAATTTTTTGTTTTGTTATTTTTAAGGTTGTGGTACCTATATTTCAATGCACTCAAATATTAAAAAAAACTTTTATCTTTTAAAAATATGTATTTTTTCCATTAAACAATCAAATATTTAACAATAGACATAAAGGGGCTTTTGATATTTATTCTTAATTTGCTCTTTTAACATAATTGTTGCCTACTAAGTCATTAAGATCCAGAAAGGGTGAACAAATGAAAAAATAAAGAAAGTTGCATTTTGGAACCTCTGTTTGGAAGCATTAAAAGGTTAGTCTAGTAGTGTTCCATTTATTTCTCATTTGTTTAAAATTTTTAAATTGGTAGAACTGTAATATTAAAATATTTGGAAATGTTCACTCAAGTATAGCAATACTAAAGTTCAAAATAATGATAATTTGTCACCATTGATTCATTTAGTAATTTTAGGGGAAAGGTAATCAAATTTTATCCCTATCCTTTGTATACTTTTAAGACATACAGATTTTAGAAGTACAAAGAATATTTTTTATAATCTTTATTGGTTCTTTCATAGCTACTTTGAAAATGAATGTCATAAAGAGAAAAGAAAGCAGAAACTTACCTGATTTGTTTGAAGAGGCTTTGGGTGATAATGCATATTGCTTGTTATTTTTTGTTCTAAAAACATTTCCAGAGTACTGGTTCTTTGAGCATTGTCAAAATGGATTAGATCAACTAGAAAGAACTACAGGAGATAAATTTCTATCTGTTGAGTGTCTTCACACAATAATACATGCCATTTTTATTGCAGATTTTAACCTTTAGAAGAGAACCAATTCTGGAAAACAACCAAAGTTTCTTTGATTGAATACGCACGTAATGCATTGGAATATGATGGGGGAATTAAGGTATACTAATGTTGTATTTGTTTGTTTGTTTTTGATTTTGTTTTCTTAAGTCAAGGTCTTAATTCTACAGCCCAGCCAAGAACTTGCTATATATCATAAACCGGCCTAGAACTACTAATTTTTCTGCCTCAATCTCTTCCTTAGTCTTCCTTAGCTAATTCCTTAGCTGGAATTATAAATATGTGCCAGTATGTCTGCCTTATACTAACGGATTTTCAGAACCTATCATTATATATCTTTGTAATATAATTGGACTTGATAGTAATTCTGAAACATTTGAATGAACTAAAATCAATAAAGAATAAACAGAAATCTTGTAAATTGGCTAATCTAAGTGTCTTGCTTGTTAAAATTCCAGATTTTTAAGAACATAGTTGATGTTTTTATTGTGTTGTAGATCCATCTGAATTTACCTTCTCCCACCTACCCCCTAAAAAAGAACAAAGTATATATGGCGATTTTTCTTTTACCTGAGGGTGTTACTACAGTGTGCTATGTAAGGTATTTAACTATGTAGTAGACTTTATTCTCACTAAATGAAGTGTTTTAAGTCAAGTGGAATTTAGTACTTGGCTGTTTGACAAGTGGAGAAATAGGTAGAGTCTAAAAATTAGATAAGATTAATGAAAATGTTTTAAGAAAATTACAAGTATTCTAAGTACCTTCCTAACCAAGTCATAATTTGGTTGAAACTGAAAAAAAACATACTAAATATTTCTTGGTTAGTTTTTTCTAGTGAAGTATTGAACATAAATTTTAATGATATTTGCTAAATAAAATGGCAGTTGATAAAATATAACTGATTTTCTTTAGAATTGTTGACTATGTAATATTGCTGTGAATATATAAGTAACAAATAAAAAATCCCAAAGGCTTTGTTTTCTTAACAAGCTTAATTTAACCTTAAGACTAAAATACAGTTTTCCTGCCCATAAAACCTCTTTTGGGGTTGGGGATTTAGCTCAGTGGGCGCAAGGCCCTGGGTTTGATCCTTAGCTCTGAAAAAAATTTTAAAAAAAAACCTCTTTTAACTTTAAATAGTTCAAACATTTTAGAACACATTCTCAGATGTGTTTAAGAATGCTAGAATATTGAGATCCATATTAAAATATTAAAAACTGGAGTTTGATATTTTTATATTATGAGATTGATAATCCAGAAATGCACATTTGTTTATAATTGAGGCAAAATAGAAATATTAAAAAGCTAAATAGAAATCAGAGTTTAATTAAATAAGAGTGAATTTATGTCTTTATAACTTTGATTTTTAAATTATGACAAAACAGTTTGGACGGGTGAAGAATGAATAAACTTTTCCTCTATCTTACCCAGTGTTTTTTAGGTTAGAGAGTATTAGGATGAAAATAGAGTGTCTTGAGGATAGACAGAGATCGACATTTTATTTATCACTTCAGTCCAGATAATTGACACAGTTTTAATGAGTTAAGTGAAGGACAAATCAGTATATGAGTTTATAGTGTCGGTGAAGATTTAAATGTATGATTGTTTTGAATTTAAGATTTTAAAATTTATGATACCTGAGGGTCTTATAATTACTGTTTGAACCAAATATTTGACATCATGTTGTTCTCTCTACAATTATCAACTGATTTATGAACATAGGAAATTTAGCTTGTTAAATAATTTAGTATTTAAAAGCAATAGTACACATATTAAAAGTTTTCTTTTAGTTGACCACTTCTGATACAGTTAGAAACCTTAACTTGGCTAATAATAAAAGCTGTTAGAGTTATAAATGATTAGGTGTCCTTTAAAGGACATGTTGTAAATACTTCAAATTTGCAAATGTCTTCAATTCTCTCTTAAAATGTGGTTTATTAGGTAAGAATTTGAGGACAGAAATTTATTGAATTGATTTAAATTTTTTAATTAAAATTGTTCTCCAGTGATAGAGATCTTACTGAAATATTTACCTTCAATGAAAAAATATTTTAATAAACTAGGATGAGTATAATTTAACATTTGTTGATGAGGGGCCTTAAAATTATTATTTGTGATTTATAATGCTAGCTCATAAACAGAACTTGCATTTAAAACTGTCAGTGGAGTTGTTTTCTTTGATAGAGATTTTAAGTATTGCAAAGATTTGCTAAATTATAACAAAATTAACTTGAACATTTTAAATGTTTATGTGAAGCAGTTTTGTATATGTATATATATTTTTGTGGTTTTCTAAAAGTAACATTTTCATAATTTATTTGGTTTTTCAAATAAGGCCTAATGATACTTTCTGATCAACATTTTCAATAGCCAATATTTAGTTAATTCTAAGTCTTTAAATTTTTTTAAATATGACTTTGAACTACAATTTCTGTTCTCAATTACAATTTTTGTTCTCAACACTATGAACCACACTTTGGACATTTCGTTGTCATATATTAACTAGGCTAATATTACTTTGCAATTTTGATATAGTCACTTGAAAGAAAATATGCAGCATGTTTCAAATATGGTTTTTTTATTGTTGGGTTTTTTTTTTTTTCTTTTTTTTGGTTTTTCGAGACAGAGTTTCTCTGTGTAGTCCTGGCTGTCCTGGAACTCACTCTGTAGACCAGGCTGGCCTCGAACTCAGAAATCCGCCTGCCTCTGCCTCCCAAGTGCTGGGATTAAAGGCGTGCGCCACCACCGCCCGGCTCAAATATGATTTCTAATATTAATCCATTACTATTTCTATATATCCAACATGCCTTTAATCCCAGTACTTGGGAGGCAAGGCTGGGGGATCTCTGTAAGGCTGGCCTAGTGTACTTAGTGAGTTCTAGGACAGCCAGGGCTACACAGAGGAACTTGAAAAAGAAAACAACAACAATAATAATCAAGCAACTCAATGTTAGAAATTAGATTACAAATACCTTTCATACTAAATAAGTATATTCAAAATTACCTTGTTATCCTGTGGATTTTTTTGTTTATTTCTAACATTGTTAACTAACAATTTAAGTAGAAAAAAGTCTTCTTCATTTTGATAAAATATTGCAGTTATTTTATTGTTTTTGCAAAATACCTAAATTTACTATATTGCTACTATTTCATACTTTTAATTTTTAATTTGAAGACTAAGTATTACTTAAATTTAATATCTAGTTCTAATCTATGTTGTTTTGTTTTTTATATAAAGTATTTTAACAGAATAAACATTTCTATTTCTCTTACAAATTGATGACTTTGGGCTTAACTAAGTTTTTAGCTCTGTAGTATATATATTTAACATAGATTACACCGGAAATTTTTTGATAGCTGTGATTTTTCAATTTTTATCTTATTACTGTCTGTATGGTAGGGGCAATGCATGCACAGAGTTCAGAGAACAGTTGAGTCAGGACCTTCAGCTGTATATGTTTCAGTAATGAAACTCGGATTGTCATAGCAGGCAATATTTCAGTTGTAATTTTTGTTAACTCTTTTAAGCTAGGTCTAGGAAGTATTCTTATTTAGTGGTAGAGCTCTTGGCTAACATGCCAAGGCCCCAGATCAATTCCTGAAAGGAAAAAAAATCATAATTGGCTGAACACTTAATGCTGTATTTATTTTTTGCCATTCTGGAGATTGAACCAAAGGCCTTGTACTAGCAAACATTCTACCACAGAGCTATATATCCAGTGCTTGAATCTCAGGGTGTGGTGATTTGGGCAGGGGGTGGGGGGGGGGTGAGGGAGGTTGTTGTTGTTTTTCTAAATAGTACCTGAAGTCAGTATATGATATATGATAGTGATTCAGTTTGTGTGCCTGGGAGGAAACCAGGGCATTTTGTGAGCAAAAGTGCAATTTTATTTTTTGATTGAAATTTGTACAACTATGGAAGAAGTCTATGTACTTAACTCTGATAGATGGTTGAAACTCTTCAGAGAGATTTGATAATGAGTAGTTAAATGTAGCCTTAGAAACTGAAGACTTTTAATGTGTTAACTTTTTAAGATACATTGTAGGTTCCCTTTCTAATAACCAAAACAGTAATTTTGTCTTCTTTCTCTACCTTGTCCTTTTTAAATTCTGTCTTACATAATTTTATACTATGATACAAGTGTACTTATTAAATAAACTGTACAGAAGTACTTTTCTCAGAGTTAGATGCATATGTTTTTCTTGAGTGGTGCTTTTTAAATAGTAGTAACATCATGGGGAAGAAGCAAGTGTCACCACCGTAGCAGTTGTTCTTGTCTCTTATAAAAATTGAAGTTGGGTGATCACTGCTGCTTGTCAGCTACTTTGTACTGCAGAGTGCTATTAGTATATAATCACATTGGCCAAAGAAGTTTGCACACACGTGGCAAGGTTTCCCATATGTGGTTTAAAGAATGATCTTTTTGAAAGATACTTTTTCAGTGCATCCTTGAGAATAGTTAATATTTGTGGGGTGTGGACTTTTTAAAGTTTTTTCAATGGTGTTATATTTGATTTTTATTCAGGAAGTCTCATGTTAGAATTGAAAAATTCTACAAATATGTGAGCTTTTCTGCACTTTTAAGCTAATAGAGTAAGAAAGAAAACTTAACTAATAAAGTTGATTCAGATATATATTTGAGAAAGAAACATTGTGGCCACTTTGGAGTACTTCTTTCACATTGAGGACATTATTTTCCTTTTGTAACCTCATATAAGGAAGGCTGAATTATTGTTAGTTTCACTATAATAAAAATATTCTATACCATGTTGTCAGTCACTAGAACCAACTTAGGGCAGAGGTGAAAATGTACAAGTTGGTTTTTTTCTTACCCTTAAACTTTTTTATATTTCTAGTCATACTTTTATGATTTCTAAAAATGATACCTACCATGTCCTATTCTGTATCTTTTAGAAATTAGACTTTATAATTTCAAGTGATATAGTTTTGTAGACTTGTACACTTTTAATTTAAACAAACTTGCATCATCCTGCATGTTTTTCTCCTCTTTCATTTGTATAATTACAGTCCTAGATAAGTGAATACTAGATCTCTGGTAATATTCTGGTTTCATTTATAAGACTTTGATAGAAGACTACAACTGATGTTTGGGTTTTTTTTTGTTTAGCGGTGTCCTAATTTAAAGCCTGACATTTGCAGTGATATTTTTAAAAATATTCATCATTTCTCTTTTGTTGTCTTCATTAAAATTGCTTCTGACCATCTCCATGCTAAATATTTGCTTTACCAGTCAGAGTAAACTCACAATACCATCTCTTAATTGTTATTACTAACAAAAATAGCTTTTGTCATATGGTATGTTTATCTGAGTTAATTGAGACCACAGTCTATATTGGCAATGTGAAATTAAGCGTATTAACTGTAGTTGTAATTGCTATTATAGGCTCATACTGTTTTTAATATGCTGATGTAGCTTGACAGATAGACATACTAATATTGCATATGTTTAACCTAAAAGTTAGCTGCATAATCCTTTCTTGGAAGTATCCTCTACCCTGATTGACCCCTGCTACAAAATGTCTAGACTGGCTAGTAGAAGCTAAAATAACTCATTTTTCCTGACCTGCTTATTCAGAATCTCTGATACGAGGTATCCACAATTTATACTTTTTACAAGCTCTAAAAGATTTTTCCTCTTTCTTTTTCTCTTTTCTTTCATTTTTAAAACAACACCACAAATGAGATGGGCCAGGGTTGGGAAGGATTGTACACCAAACCATCTACATCAGGCTTTACCTTCCCCAGCCACTGGTTATCTTGGATCTGCAAAATCCAGGATCTAATTAGAAAGCTTATCATTTCTACAACACTTCTAAGTGTTGCTATTTTCTCGGTCATATGAAGAATAATTCATTATCAAAACTTTATTTTTGTGAAACTGTTTTGGGACAAACTTTGGTTTATTCTAGTGGAAACCTTAGTATACCTGTGTTAGAGATACACACTAAAAGCAGAAGAGAATGATCACTTAAGAAAAACTGCTGGCTGAGAGATGGCTCAAAGGTTAAAAGAGAGCACTTGGTGCTCTTTCAGAGGACCCAGGTTGAGTTCCCAAAACCCACATGGCAGCTCACAGCCCCAGTTCCAGGGAACCCAATACCCTTTTCTAGTCTCTGTGGGCACTAGGTATTCGAGAAGTGCACAGACACACAAACAGTCAAAGCATGCAAAAACATAAAATAGATGTGAAACAATAAAAAGAAAATAAAAATAAAACTCAACACTTTAAAAATACTAATTTCTAACTATAAGTAGCTTTTTTTAGAAAATGTATTTTCAGATGTTGGAGAATTTGCAGTTGGTGGAACACTTGGTAGCTTTGTAGTGCAGTTGAGATTACAGTAGGACCCTCTCCAGTTGTATGTTGTAATATAGTCTCATAAACTACATAGCCGTTAAGATAAAAGTTGTGAATATTCTGAATAACTGTATTCAGCAAATAAAAAAACCTTTCAAGAAAGTGTATGTGTGTAACAGTTACATTTGTAGTTATAGTGTAAAAAAAAATGTAGGACAAATAAATACCATATCAAGATTATAGTTACCTTGTGAGAGCCCAATATGATCAGAGCTTGGCACATAAGGATCTTTATGTGTAATTGGGATTTTTTTTTTTTTTTTTTTTTTTTTTTTTTTTTTTTTTTACCATTCAGTAGAGCTGGCTTTAAGGTAGAGATTCACATTGGCATTATTGGAAAAGCGGATTGGTGGATTTTGAAATAAAAAGAAATGCTGATACTTTTGTGAGAAAATAAGTATTTTGCAGTAAAATGTACACTTGGAATACTCTGGTAAAGGTATAAATAGTGTATTTCTATGCTCTATCTTGTAATAAGTACTTATATGTAGGTATATTGGCATATTCCAGTAATTCCAGCACCTAGAAAGATGAAGCAAGAGTATCCCAAATTCAGGAACAGTCGGGGCTATATTAACAAGGCTGTCTGTCTCAAAAGTACAAGTCCAGTGTATAATCATATTCCACAGAAATAAAACATTCTGACTAACCAAGGTCACTGGGGTAGTTGAAGGTTCTATTTTAAAGGATGGGCTGTGATACATTTCCTGCTGGGGTGTGAGGATCTAAACCCTTTCTCTTACAAGTAAAGTACAGCCGTGAAAATGATTGCATCATTGCTAGTTTCGCTTATATTTTGCCTCAGACATTTCTAAACAATATTTTCTTCTGGTGTGTTTTAGAATAGCATAATGGTTTATTTCCAGATTTTTTTTTTTTAATGTATAAGAATCAGAAAACAGTGGTTGAAGTCTTTGCTCTTTTTTCCTAGGTTTAACAATGATAAAATGAAGATATTACTAAAACGGCCCTCAAAGTAGCCCAACAATTATTATTTTGTAAGTATTAGTTTCTAGCTCTTTCCTTCCCTCCTTCCTTTCTTCTTCCCTCAGTTACCCACTACCACTGCTACAAAGACTTGTGTTTGGTATCATATTTCCATTTATATCTGATTATTTTTCTATTTATTCTTGAATAACTTAAATTGCCCATTAGCTCTCTATTCATTGATGTTTGGTATTAATTTAGAACAAGAATGATTTCATTGCCTTAGGCAACTTTACTAGTGTGGAAAGTATTTTATAGAACGGCCCTGTTATCTCCAAGTCTGAAATCACAATATTGAATCCTTTATTTAAAGTTTACAAATAAGCAAAGCAAAGATCTTTTTTTAAGGTTTATATATTTTTTTATTTTATTTGTGTGTTTAAATGCATGTATATATGTGTACTGTGTATATTCCTGGTATACATGGAGGGTCACAAAGAGGGCATTTGGATCCCCTCAACTGAAGTAATAAGGTGTTGGTTGTAAGCCACCATATGGGTGCTAGGAACCTGTTATCTGCAAAGCAAGAAGTACTCTTAACCAAGGAGCCATCTCTCCAGTCCTGGTAATGGTATTTTTATTATTGTTACTCAAAATGTATTGATTTTATAGTATTATAGCTTGAAAGTAGACTCTTGAGAAATATTTTTGGTTTTTACATTCATTTGAGACTTCTTTGTACATTTAGCTTTTAAAACTTCAGGAGACAGAGAAAACAACCAATGCAATTTCTTTTCTGTATACACATTTACACATTTAAATTTATTTAAATTTGATTGTTTGATTCATTTAAATTCTGTAAAGTATAAATTACAACAATAATTCTAACAGATTAGCTGACATTAATATATCTCTAAGAAAACTAGCATTAAAATCATGTTAAATACACACAGCTAATTATTTCTGTGAAAGTAATTCAGACTCTCAAATTAACAAAAGAAAAAATTCACTTCCATCTACCTGAGCTAATTTTGCATTTCTGAGGGAATTCAGGCTCAAGTTTCTGTTGCTAATGGTGTTAAGGGTTAGGTGACTCCACTTGAAAAAAGTTGGAGCTTCAGATGCTTTCCTTCCACTGTGTCAAACATTGCATTGGTAATCCAGAACCTGTATGTTAGATGACCTTATAATTACAGATGATCAGCCATTCAACTCAAGAATTGAGAGTGGTTTATTTCGGGTGGGGCTACATAGGAGAGGTAAGGTAGATAAATACTGAAACCTTCATTTTACTCATAGTAAAATGCTTACTGGTTGCTTTTTTCTTTTTCTTTTTTCCATATTTTTATTTCTGAGAAATTAGAATGGAAATATTTATAAATCCTAATCTTGTACCATCTAAGTTTGGGTTCATTAATTGGTCACACGTAAGCCAGCTTCAGCCTTGCATCAACTTAAGTTTCTAAAAAAGACAGTTTTTTCCAGTTGATAGTGTACTCCTACTATGACCCACGTTATATGACCCTATGTGGTCTTTGTATGCCTGTGTCTACCTTTCTCTTTAGTGTTTATTTACTACTATAGCTTCTCTTAAGGTAGTGATTTAAGTTAATCCTTTATGGAGTGTGTATAAGAGGAGAGGTTTTCGTTTTTTTGTTTGGTTTTGGGATTTGTTTTGTTTTTTTTTGGGTTTGGTTTGGTTTTGTTGTGGGGTTTTTGTTATTGTTGTTTTGTTTTTTGGTGGTGATGGCTTTTTTTCCCCGTTTTTTTTACAGTACTAGAGATGAAAAACCTAGACAAGCACTTTGCCTCTCTAGCCCTTCATCTGTGGAATATGGATGTCCTTGAAATTGTAGCATAATGGTACTAATATGCTAGATGCTCTGAATTGAGTAATGGTAATGTTTTGCATTCATTTTTCTAAGTAGAGTAAAGAGATTTCTTTCAAGTTTGCTTTCTAGTTTAGAGTTAGAAATTCAAAGAAATACTTTTACCTCTTGCTTTGTCTTTTTATTTTTTATTTGCTTTTTTACATTATATTTTTAGCTACATAAGTTTAATTATATAATGCCAATTTAAACTTATATCATTTGAGGGGCTGGAGAGATGGCTGTGGTTAAGAGCGCCTGATGCTCTTCCAGAGAACCCAGATTTGGTTCCCAGAACCTACAGCAGACTACATCAGGCAGCTTACAACAAAGTGAGTGTCCAGGGTATCCAACACTCTTCACTACAGGTACACACACACTTGTACATATACATTTACAGAAAAATTAATGTAAATATGTATGATTAATAGTTTAAAATTTTTGAGTACATTGTCCACATTAAAGAATATTAGATTATCTTTTAAATAATAGAGCAAAGATACAAAGAATTGTCCCAATAAAGAAACAAAATGAGGAAAAATTCACATTGAGTCTTGTCAGTATTGATAATATTGTAATCTAATAATGACAGAAACTAATCACTTCCTAATTCAGGAAACATTAAATTTGACTACTCTCAGAAGCTATGCTAGTTAAAAAAAGAGCTATTTTCCATTAAGAAATGTGTCAGGTTAGCAATATAGTAATAGTGATACACAATCATATCAGTTTTAAAAGTGTTATCAGTTGTTGGATTATGAATAATATAAGTATGGGAGTTAATACTGGGGGGGAAGAGTCAGAATATTTTTTATTATTGAGGAAGTTAGAATCGGTGATATGGCAAGTGATAAAAGTTTTTGTTTTTAGTAAAAATGTAATTGAGTAATGATGTAATAGATAAGCTGAAAATGTGTTATTTTTATGTACTATCTAAATTTCTTTATGGTATCAACTCCTGTCTGTTGTGCTACTCCAGAGGAAAATTTACTTAAGTCTCTTTAGGGAGCTGGAGAGATAGCTCAGTGATTGAAAACACTGGCTGCTCTTCTATTCCCTATACAGATACACACACAGGCAAAAACCAGCCCACAATCAGTAAATAAATAAGCGAGCGAGCTTGTTTAAAAAATTAGTTTCTTTAAAGGGAAATGTTTCCTGGGAGAGAAGTGTATGCCACAAGTGAAAAATAGTTGCTTGTTTTGGAGTTGAATAGTGATGAAAGGTGTCAGCTATTGTCGTAATTGGAGGCAGAGAAGAATGCCTTATATACCTGCTGATAGGATGACTATTAATTTTGTAAGTATATGAAGCTTATGTCCTGAAGGTTGTTATATATTACTTTATAATTCATGAGTTCATTGTATTCTCTAATTTTTTTTAGTTGTTGAAGTTTTGAGAATTACAAAGGTTATTCTTTGTCCTCAAAACCTTTATATTTGATGTATAAGTGTTTACTAAAACAATTATGTCCAACCTGTACCTTTATGCTTAAGCCATGATGGTTTTTCTAGTCTCAACAAAATAACAACCATGGAATTTATTAAGTTTTATTGCAAAATAGACTCTTTTTGTTTTGCTTTTGTTTTTTTTTTTTTCACTTTGAGCAAAGTTTCACCTTCTAAATAGATTCAATTACTAAAATTTACTTTTAAGATCACTTTGGATCTTAGAAAAGTTAAAACTGGCCGGAAATGTCGCTCAGTTAGTATAGTGCTTACCTAGAAAGTATGACACTCTGGGTTTGATGTCCTGCAGCAAGTAGACTGGGTGCCGTGGTGCATTTCTGCAATCCCACAGGGGTGGAGGGCCGGTCAGGAGACTAAGGTCATCCTTAAAAGTTAGGTGAAATTCAGGACAGCCCTGCTTATATGATCCCTTGTATGGACAGGGGGAGTTGGGAGGATAAAATCAAAAGTTATACCAGGGTCTGAATTTTGGTACCGTATATGTTCATTTTGTCTGAGACAGCTTATCTCTGAAACCCTGCCTGGCCTTGAATTTGTAGTAATCCTCTGCCTCAGTCTCTAGAGTGCCGAAATTATAGGCATGTTCCACTCACAACACTTAGCCACCCACCTGGTTTGGGCAGGAATTTTAATTTGCAAATATAATAATCTGATGCAGTGTGATTTTTTCACTTTTAAGATAAATACACTGGGGTAATATCCTCAGAACATTTAATGTGATTGTTTTCATCTCTGTTCTGAAATTTGAACTTTTTAAAATATGTATGAGTGTTTTTGCCTTCATGTATGTCTGTGCATACCTGCTAGCGCTTGAGGAAGTGCTGAGGCTCCATGTGGGTGCTGGGACTTGAACCCTGGTCTTTTACAACAGCAAAATGCTCTTAAACACTGAGCACTTTGCGGCCCTGAAACTTGAATTTTGAAATTTTCCATGTAAAGTGAACAAATTTGAATACAGAATTGAAAAACATTCAGTTGTCAGTGATCACACCTAACTTGGCCTGAACTATCAGGTAAGTTTTCCTGATAGCCAGTAAATAAATTTGGGGTATTTTGTTTTGTTGTTGTTAGAACACTTTTTTTTTTTCAAATATATAACGTAGGCTCATTTTCTTAGAGAAAAATCACGTATGGAAATGGAATTTTTAAGTATTTAGTGGTATGCACTACAGACGGTTCTGAAACTTTCACATATCAAATTTTAGCACTAGGGTTTTAAAATGTTTAGAGAAGAAATAGTTCCAAAGATTTTATAGTGGTATTATTGCCACATCAAGATAAAAATTAACATACCCAGCCTTTAACTTCCCAAATTTTGTTGCAGTATTTCATACCTTTAGCTGTGCTATTTAAGTAGCTCCTTTGTGTCCTGGGATTTGTTGTCCTGTCATCAGAATTTAAACCTCGTAGCACTTCCTCGATATTCTTAGACAACTTCGTAAGATGGCTGTGGTTCTGAAGTGTCCTTCAAAGGCTCATATGTGTGTTAATGGTTCGTTGCAGATCTAAGGAACCAGAAAGGGTCAGTGTACTAGAATACCAGCCATGGGAGCGACTCATAAAGGAGAGAGTGTCAGAGTTCTGATCTCAGATTCTGTATTCTGTCATTGTGCTCCAACAAATTACCAGCTGCTTATCATATTAATAAGTAAAATTCAAAAACTGTCCCATTATTCTGATTCAGTCAAGATGATGATATAGCTTAG